AAGAAAGGTACACTGGTCAGTAGTGGGTTTCAATTTCAGCTGCTACCTGTTCGCTCGTGGGTGCATGCGCGCTTGTACATGACGCTTCTGCGCATGCGCAGAAGCTTCTGCTCATGCGTAGAAACTTCTGCTCATGCGTAGAGATGTCTGGGTAGGTGGGCGGAGCCTCCCGCCCCCACCGCTACCGGTTTGCCCGATCCGGGGCAAACCGGTAGCAACCCACCACTGACACCGGTGCTTTAGGCCAGCTGGAATTTGACAACCACCATTTGCAGATCATAGAAGGTAATGCCTCCCAATGCCTCACACTAAGGCCAGGAAAACTGGAAAGTGCTTGGTTCCTCTTGTCTATGCTGTCATAACATTAACCTCATTGGAGTATGGCTGCATGAATTAAACCACTACACAATATTGACATAGATACCTGACAATATGTTTGTTTTTAATGTTGTAAGTTTTTTCAAACAACCTATGTAAAGTGGCCCATACTTAATCATCCTTGGAATGACTGTCCACCCAAACATTTGGACAAAGACTAAACCAGCTTTCTGTGGTTGACTACTTAAAACTGAATGCATTGACACAATTTGGAAGGAGTTGTCTGATTCTGTATTGGTTAAGGTTACCGCTCTGATACCTTGCTGCAGTTATCTGGTAAATTTAACACATGGATCACTGGAGATAATAGGTACAAGATAGTTACCTGTCATTTCCACAACCAGGATGATCTTAGCAAACTAGCAAAATAGGTAGTCCTCGAGTTACGACCACAACTGAGCCCAAAATTTATGTTGTTAGAGAGACATTTGTTACATGAGTTTTACCCCATTTTACAATTATTTCTTGCCCCAGTTGTTAAGTGAACCACTGCAGTTGTTAAGTTAGTAACATGGTTGTTAAGTGACTCTGGCTTCCCCATTGACTTTGCTTGTCAGACGTTTGTAAAAATTGATCATGTGACCCCGGGATGCTGCAACCGTCATAAAAATGACTCAGTTGCCAAGCATCCAAATTTTGATCACATGACCATGGGGATGCTGCCAACGACCATAAATGTGAAAAACATCATAAGTCACTTTTCTCAGTGCCATTGTAACCTTGAGTGATCGCTAAATGAACTGTTGTAAGTCGAGGATACCTGTATTTCAAGTTCACATGACCATGGGGATGCTGCCAACGACCATAAATGTGAAAAACAATCATAAGTCACTTTTTCAGTGCCATTGTAACCTTGAGTGATCGCTAAAATGAACTGTTGTAAGTCGAGGACTACCTGTACTGCTTTTCAAGTTGTTCTCCCACAATATTTTTTTCCATTTAATTCCCTTTTGAATCTTAGCATGTGATTTCTATTTAATTGGATATAAAATTTAGATTATTGTCATGTGGCTCTTCTTTTTTATCTAACACTATCATACAAAGAATCCTAAATTTGTAAAGCTGCTTGATATATTTCTTGTGATGCATACCAAATCTTTGTTTCTACTAGAAGTGTGTTAAAAAATTTTCCTGCCAGCATAAATAAAAATCCTTCCAGATAGCTCATTATCATGACCCATCTACTCATGACTCAGGTCAATCTGCTTTGTCCATCTATTGCTAACAGTTTACACAAAAATTTATGATCATTTTATACAAAGATATATGGCCATTCTTAGACTGACCTGGTCTGGATAACTTTCCCAAATGTGCCAGTTGGCAACTTCACTTAATTTACTCCTAAATCAAAGCCAACTTTTCTGAAACTGAAAGAATTCCAAAATTAAGTTGTCAGAGAGAAACAAGCCAGAGTTCCCAATTATTCTTATTCTAGGCTAAACAAACCATGGAAACAGTTTCGACAGATTTAGCAAACTCCTTTTGGTGGGAGGAGCCAAACAAGAGAGTGAAAATTCATTTCACAATATGCCAAATTTCTTCAGAATTTTTGCTTAGCATGACATGCAAATATATTGTCCCTTTCCCTGTTTCTTGTTGCTGCCTCATAATGTAAGCTAATTAACAAACCTGACACAACTTCTTTCAAGCTAGAAAACTGATAAGTTACAAGTTGGCATCACAATAATTACAATGACAGTAATGGTTTTTGTGATTTTAAAATGCAGGATCACAAGCACAAATATGAAAAAAATCAATATTACATCTTCTATTTATTGTATAGGAACACAATGGATCAATGCAACTGAATTATTTTTATAAAAAAAAAAAGATGTTATTTCTACTCAATAAACCTTAAATTTACCAATCTGCTCCAAACGGCAAAATACGAACAGCACTTTTAATCAAAATTTCAGTTGAAACAGTTAAAATAACCAAGGAAACATTACAACAATGGTTTTCCAAAAATTACAAAAAGGAATTTGAGTCATATGTTATATTTTCTAGAAATTCATGAGAGTGTCACCAAGAACTTCCTCATTTTAAAATAAAGCCTTTTACTCAAAGAAAGTTGTACAGTTGTTGGTTGACACAATGACATATGTAAATTCATAGCCCAAAAGAGAATAAGAGGAAATGTGGTTTGCGGTTTATCTTAGTTTTAACTTCCCAAAACAAACCATCTAAACTCGAGCTCCAATTCTTCTGCCGCATAGGTGATACATCTCTGACTGCAGTGATTTCCTCATTTATAATAGAACGTTCTAACTTTTATTTTTACAGGCTCTAAGGTGAAGATGGTCTGACCATTTCTGGAAACTTGGTGTAAAGGAACTGTCTCACACAATGATTAGAGGGACTTGAATGAGGAGATCAGGAAAAGATTTGTGTGAGTCACAGTGACCAGCTTAATACATTGTGTGATGAAAGAAATGGAGAAACAGAAAAAAATAAGGAACAGATTTTTAAAAAACACACCTCCCAATACAGTGATGTCCTGACATACAGGTAGTCCTCAATTTACAACCACAATTGAGCCCAGAATTTATGCTGCTAAGTGAGAAATTTGTTAAGTGAGTTTTGTTCCATTTTATGACTTTCTTGCCACAGTTGTTAAGTGAATCATTGCAGTTGTTAAATTAGTAAGACCATTGTTAAGTGAATTTGGCTTCCCCATTGATTTTGCTTCTCAGAAGGTTGCAAAAGGTGATCACATGACTCCAGGACACTGCAATCATAAATCATAAATATGAACCAGTTGTCAAGCATCCGAATGCAAATCACGTGACCATGGGGATGCTGCAATGGTCATAAGTGTGAAAAATGGTAATGTCACTTTTTCCAGTGCCGTTGTAACTTTGAATGGTCACTAAATGAACTGTTGTAAGTCGGGGACTGCTTGTACAACCCTGATATTTGGAATCCATACAGCTCTAGTTTATGGATTGGAAAAGAGAGATTGTAGAGTTGGAAAATATGCAGAAAAGAAATAAGCAAAATATTTAGAGGACTAGACCATTTTCAGATGCAGGGGCAGTCCAGGATGCTAAAAAAATGGCACCTGCAATTGCATTTTTTTTACCCATTTGCTGTAGACACCCCAACTCTGAGGATGGACTAGGGAAATAGCATTTGAAGCTTGCAGCTTGAAGAAGGGGATAGCAAGTGGCAATATGACCAAGATGCACAAAAGCAAGCTTGACATGGAAAATATGGAGATATGTTAGTATTCAAAAACATATTATTTCTTTGTTTCTTTGTTCAATATCTATAGCCGCCCAACTCAACCAAGTGACTCTAAGCAGTTTGTAGTTGTAAAACTATAAAAAAATTAAAAAAAATTAAAAACAGTAAGTAAAAACCTCCAGAAAGAACTAATGATGATTCAGAATCAAAACAATGAAGTACGTCATAAAGGGTAATTAAAATGTAGAATTCACTGCCCTCAAATTTCATGGCCGCCATCAATTTTAACAGTTTTTTATTAAATACCACGTTTCCCTGAAAATAAGACCCTGTCTTATATTTTTTTGAACCCCGAAATAAGTGCTTGGCCTTATTTTCAGGGAGGTCTTATTATTTTGGGGGCGCGTGGAGCAAGATGGGGCTCCTCTTGCCGTCTTACCTGACTTCCAGCTCTGCATTTAAATATTTTCGGGGAGGGCTTATTTCGGGGAGAGGCTTATTTTAGCGCATGCCCTCAAAAGCCCTATTGGGCTTATTATCAGGGGATGTCTTATTTTTGGGAAAACAGGGTAGTAATAGGCAACTTGATTGAGAAGCCGTATGTGATTGCTGGACATTACCTCCAGCATCCAAGCGATAAATACAAGCGGCTAGAAATCCCAAAAGTGCTTTTTCAAAGACATTTTGTTTCTTATCCAAGAAGAGTCTTCAGTTCCAAACTAGCTTCTCGGATGAGAAGCAAAACATCTTTAAGGAAAAACAAAGGAAATCCAGTTGCCTTTTGAAAAAGCACCTTTGGGACAACCATGACCTGGATGACTGAGAATCTCCATAGACATTAAGCTGCTAGAAAGTCATAGAGAAAGAGACTTTGAGTTCTTGGAGCTATCCCGTTGGCCACAGACTGACACAGAGCGTCAACTTTGGTATCTCTTGCAGAAGGATTGTTGCATGGAATAAAGAGGTGGAGAAGCTTCTCATGGTTTCAGTTCTTTGGGTGGGGAGTGTGAGAGGTTGAAAAAGGAAAGATGTAACAAACTACAGATAGTCCCGACTTACAACAGTTCATTTAGTGACCATTTGAAGTTGCAACGGCACTGAAAAAAGGGACGTATAAACGTTTTTAACAATTACAATGGTTGCAGCATCCCCATAGTCATGGGATTTACATTTGGATGCTTGACAGGTGTCTCACATTTATGACGGTTGCAGCGTCCCAGGGTCACGTGATCCTGTGTGTGGCCTTCTGACAAGCAAAGGCAACAGAGAAGCCAGTGTTTCACTTAATAAATGTTGCAAGTCGTAAAATGGGATAAAACTCACTTAACAAATTTATCACTTAGCAACATGAATTTAGGGCTTAATTGTAGTCGTCAGCAGAAGACTACCTGTACTTAATGAACAAACCCAAAATGAATGAAAACATAAATAGGTACCTGATAGAATTCCCGAAGCCAATTCTTCTGCAGGTTTTCTGGCTGGAAAATAAATAATTAAAGTGAGTACATAATTGAAGTCCATGAGTACCAATAAATATTAAAATGAGTCATAAATAGAGTGACTATACTTGACTATAAACACAAATGAAATGATTACTCAGGTCAATACATACATGGACATATACACTTAAAAGGTAAAGGTTCCCCTTGCACATATATGCTAGTCGTTCCCGACTCTAGGGGGTGGTGCTCATCTCCGTTTCAAAGCCGAAGAGCCAGTGCTGTCCAAAGACATCTCCGTGGTCATGTGGCCGACATGACTAAACACCAAAGGCACATGGAATGCTGTTACCTTCCCACCAAAGGTGGTCCCTATGTTTCTACTTGCATTTTTTTTAAACATGCTTTCAAACTGCTAGGTTGGCAGAAGCTGGGACAAGTAACGGGAGCTCACCCCGTTATGAGGCACTAGGATTTGAACCGCTGAACTGCCAAACGTTCGATCGACAAGCTGAGCGTCTTAGCCACTGAGTCACCGCATCCCCTTACACACTTACACACAGATAAAAACATGAAGTTTGTAAAAGCAACCATGCATTAAATTTCAAAATCACAGAATTTGGAAGCATCTATGTATTAACAAAATCATATGTGGTTTAGTCTTAAGCACAAAAAGTAAAGGTACACTTAATTGTCTGCAACATGCCCAGAATTGTTGGTGAATGAGCAGTCTTAGAAACTGAAGTTATCAAATGATTAATCAGTCAAATTTATGGAATGTGGGCAAGGCAAAAGCATAGCAGATTATGGTATATCTAAGAAACTGGATATACCACTTTGAATATCTACATCAAAAATTTTTCTTAAACCACATCCTTTTGGTCAATCAGTTGATTTATTTAGTCTTCTTCAACCTCCTCCCATGCTGTGTAATTTTAAAACCATCCACCTTAATTATAATAGGCTTTGCTGCTTTATTTTATTCAATTTTCACACACACACACACACACACACACACACACACACACACGCACACCAGAAGTGGGTTTCAGCAGGTTCTGACCAGTTCTGGAGAACCGGTAGGGAAAATTTTGAGTAGTTCAGAGAACTGGTAGTAAAAATTCTGACTGGCCCCGCCCCCATCTATTCTCTGCCTCCCAAATCCCAGCTGATCAGGAAGGAATGGAGATTTTACAGTATCCTTCCCCTGTCATGCCCACCAAGCCATGCCACACCCACCAAGCCAAGCCACACCCACAGAACCGGTAGTAAAAAAATTTGAAACCCACCGACACACACACATTCCAAGACAACTCTGAAGATCATAATGCACTGAACAGAATAAAAAAACTATAAACAAACATACAACAAAACCAAACTAAAAAAAAAGAAAAAAAAAAGAACAGGATGATGAATCCAGCAGAAAACAAAAACATATTCCATCAACATGAAGTAACCAGTGGAAGGCTCCAGTCACCTTATCCCAAGTCCTAGAATAGTGTTTCTCAAACTTGACAGCTTTAAGATGAGTCAAGATGAGTGGACTTCAACTCCCAGTATTCCCTAATTAGCTGCCGATTTGAGAAACAATGGCCTAGAACAGCCAGATCTTTATGGTGACCTCAAATGCTAGCAGGATGAATGTAATGCATTCCTACCAGGGGTGGGTTCTACTTACCTTTACTACCAGTTCACAACGGGGCTGCATGCGCACTTCTGCGCATGCACAGATCGTCATTTATGATCTCTGGGTGGGTGGGCGGAGCCTCCCGCCAATTTTACTACCAGTTCTATAGAACCAGACAGAACTGGGGGCAACCCACCACTGATTCCTACTCTGTCAATAATTGTCAGAGAAGATATAGTAAAAAATAAATGATAGAAATGCCATGAGACAGAAAGAACATTTTACCATATGAGATGGGCATATTTTAAAAAAAATACTAAAAAGAAATAGTCAGCACTCTTCCAAGAATTTTTGAAATCAAATTTGAAATTAAACATTCATTCATTCATTCATTCATTCATTCATTCATTTTCTATGACACCCATCTCCCCTATAAGGTGACTCTGGGCAATTCTTCTTACTAGGCATCATTTCAAAACATTTTTTTTTTTAAAATCACAATTTATTAAGATAAATGTTCATGTCTATGAGAACAACCTTAGTACGTTACTATGATATCAGACTGGGAGCTTAAACTTGGAGAATATGAAATTAACAGCATGTATTCACAACAAAAGTTAACCAAATTTAAGCTTCCCTAAATACTATATACCGTTTCCCTGAAAATAAGACATCCCCCCGATAATAAGCCCAATCGGGCTTTTGAGCGCATGCACTAAAATAAGTCCCCCTGAAAATAAGCCCTCCCTGAAAATAAGCCCTCTCCAAAAATATTTAAACGCATGTGCAGCCGGCCCCCGCCATTTCCTCTGCTTAGGGTTAGGGAGACAGAGCTGGAAATCAGGTAAGATGGCAAGAGGAGCCCCATCTTGCTCAAAGTGCCCCAAAATAATAAGACCTCCCCAAAAATAAGGCCAAGCACTTATTTCGAGGTTCAAAAAAATGTAAGACAGGGTCTTATTTTCGGGAAAACACAGTATTACACAGTAATACTAATATATTACTAATAAATGTATTACATTTATTATTACTAATAAATGTAAATATATAGAGTATGGTTGTTAAGAGGGAAAACAATTGAGTAAACCACTGAAATCAGAAATACACAAAAATTTAAAATGTTTATAAATACTGTGCATCAGTCAGAGTCCAACAAGGGAAAGTTATACGCTATTTTTTATTATGTATTCATTATATTTATATGCCTCACCATCTCACTGTGAAGCAACTCTGGATGGCTTATGACATTATAAAAGGAGAATATAACACAATCAGAACATTAGCAACATTAAAAGCATTCAGCATTAAAACTAAAACATTAAAAATGAACAAAAAAAAAAACCTAGATAAAAGAGAATATATATGTAAATGGGGTGGAGATGGTATCTTCTCCTAATCTACTAACCACCGCCAAAGTGGGAAGCTCCATTGGACCCCCACGTGAGTTGACAGAGTCAGGTTTTCAGACCATTTCAGAAGGCCAAGAAGGTGGGGGAAGACTTCAGTTCAAGGGGCATAACGCTCCAAAGGGTGGTAGCCATGCTGGAAAATGTTCTTATCTCTCTCTCCTCTCTCTCTCTAAAGGGAACTATAAAAAACTCAAGAAAAATGCACCTTGTAAGAGGAAATCTTTTAGGGGAAGTTCATCTCCAAAAGAGCAGAGGTAATTGTGGCCAAGACCAAAAAACCATCAGGTGGACAATACTTCCTCTGGCAAAAAGAGGACAGAAAAATACACATATGTGACCTGGATGGCTACTTTTCACTGATCTTGGTAGTCAGTAGTCTCCTCCAGGGAGATGGAGGTATCATACAACATGCTCACAATCACAACAGAGCCTTTTGATAACTTCACTTTCTAATCATTTTCAGAAAGTGTTTATTTAATTATCCTAAAGCTACTGGAGATCTTTGGAATGAAAAGTTTAAAAAAATCACCTAGTGAGTTTACTTTCTTTCTTGAACAGAAAAAAGAATAACCACAATTTTAAGATAATAGTTTTTATTGGTTTTACAAAAGATGTTTGCTAAAGCCTCAGACAAACCTTTAGGATGGAAAAAGAGAAACAGAAGAGAAAACAAACTCTATGACAATATTTGAATGGGTTAAAGATCATCAAAAGGAATATAAAGCTGTTTTGTTTGACCAAGATTAAAATAAGATGTCTCTATAAAGTTCTGATAATCCTTTACAGATTTTTGCTGATACCAAGACTGATGAACATTTATGGACTTGCATATTGATAAGGGTTAGAGTACAGGAAGAGATATATTTGTTTATAATGTCATAGGGGGTGAAGAATTATCAAATTTGTTTATACTTGTGATCAAGATTGGAAGTCACTTCTTTATGCATTTATTTTCCTTTATCTTACTTTCTTCATTTTCTTTCCTTGCACTTTTTATTTCTTCTATTTCTCATTCTTTCTCTGAGTTTAGTTTATATTTGCTTTTACCACTATAATTAAAAATTATTTTAAAAAGAATCAGTTTACTATCAACTTTTAGCAGCAGCAATTGCATGCAGCAGAAGCAGCTGAAATGCATCCAAATTTTGATCACATGACCATGGGAATGCTGCAATGATTGTTAAGTATAAAAACGGTCATAAGTTGCTTTTTTTAGTGTATTTATTTATTTATTTTATTTGTTTAAATTTCTATACCGCCCTTCTCCAAATAGGACTCAGGGCGGTGCACAGCCTAAGTAAAAACAAAGCATACAAATTTAAAAAACAGTATTAAAATAATTAGATATTCTGGCCGTAAATTAAAACAACCCAATTTAAAACCAATTTAAAATTTAGCTCAAGCCAGCCCAGCTAGTTGAAATAAATAAGTTTTCAGGGCCCGACGAAAAATCCGGAGGTCTGTTATTATACGTAACTCCGGGGGAAGGTTATTCCAGAGGGTGGGCGCCGTCACAGAGAAGGCTCTCCCCCTGGGGGTCGCCAGCCGACATTGTCTGGCGGACGGCACCCTGAGGAGGCCCACTCTGTGCGAGCGTACTGGCCGGTGGGAGGCTATTGGTGGCAGAAGGCGGTCTCGTAAGTACCCCGGCCCTAAGCCATGGAGCGCTTTAAAGGTGGTCACCAACACCTTGAAGCGCACCCGGAAGACTACCGGGAGCCAGTGCAGCTCGCGCAGGAGAGGTGTCACATGGGAGCGCCTCGTCGCCCCCATAATCCCCCGCGCGGCCGCATTCTGGACCAGCTGGAGCCTCCGGGTGCACCCCAGGGGGAGCCCCATGTAGAGAGCGTTGCAGTAGTCCAGGCGGAAAGTGACTAGTGCCTGAGTGACTGTGCGTAGAGAGTCCCGATCTAGAAAGGGGCGCAACTGGCGTATCAGGCGAACCTGATAAAAAGCCCCCCTGGCCACGGCCGTCAAATGGTCTTCTAAAGACAGCCGTGCGT